TGTAGGTTCATCAGTTGTAATAAATGTACTGGTGAGGGATGTTCATAGTGGAGGAGGCTGCGAGTGTCAGGGCAAAGAGTATATGGGAAACCTGTACTTTCTGCTCAATTTTTCTGTAAACCTAGGACCACTCTAAAACATCTAGTTTACTAATTTTTTAAAGCAATTCTATTTGTAAAATTTATAAGTGAAATGATACGATGATGATGCCTGGAGTATGTTTTAAAATATTCCAGGAAAAAAACTCTAGGTGACAGATGGAATAAATGGCAAAATGTTGATAATTGTTAAAGTTTGTAATACGAACACAGGATTCTTTACACTATTCTCTGTACTTCAGTGTATTTTTTAAATTTCCCTTAATATTAAGTTCTTTTTTTAAAAGCAATGATCCAGAGAAAGAAGTTACAAATAAGATAAAAAGTGAGAATAAACCTGTAGTGCTGAATTGGCCTTGGAGTTATCAGTATGAACTCATTTGTAGATAGATGATACATAGATAGATAATAGATTAGATAGATAGATAGATAGATAGATAGATAGATAGATAGATAGATAGATTACAGTGTATACTATATGGGTCAGTATTTCCTAGTTTCATCCACTGAAAGGGGCTGAAAGCAATGACACCCCAGTAGCTGTGAGCACACCTAGCATTCAGACCTTGGTTTCTAATACCATTCTCCTATAAAAGGAATCAGAAATCCTTAGAGAGTGGTTGATTTCAAGGTGGAGACAGAGATAATACAAATGATCCTGGAGCATATTGTGCCCCTGGAAAGTAAGGAAATACTAAAAAAAACTTTTTAATAAAAAGATGAGAGCATATTAAAAACAAAAAAACAGGAGCCATCTGAAAGAGCTCCCAATGGCCAAAGTTGAAATAATTTGAGAAGCAAAATAAATAATAGCATTGGCTTATAACCCCCAAAATAAAATAAATATCCATGAATTCCTATTGATATAAATAAAATAAACAGGAGAGAAGGGACAGCACTTCTTTACAGAAGATTTTCAATTAATAAGCATAGAAGTACTGAAGGAAATAGAAAATCACCTTTAGAATTCACAGTCATCATGAAAGTCCTGTGTGTATGTGTAGTTTAATGCTCTACTGTCACTATCTTAAAATTCTATTAAAAATTCTTAATAATATTTGCAAGAAGGGGCCCTATATTTTCATTTTTTCCTGGGCCCCAAAAATTGTGTAGCTGGTCCTGGCTGCAGACAAGACCCATAGATGAGTGGTAAAATTAGTGGGTGAATGTTTAAGGGAAAACAGAATACTTGCATAGCCTCAAATCATCTCTCCCAAAATACTTGTTAACTTGGAGGGGGGGAAGGGAAGGAAGAGTAACTTTACAATGGAGGGACAAGGCAGACACTCTTTACCAAATGATCAAAGTTAATATCATGTACCCCATATGATGCAATAAGAAAGGCACATCACTTCTATGTTATTCTTCCCTCAAAGCCATAACTTTAATAATGAGAAAACCTTGGACAGACTCAAATTGAGGAACACTCTACAAAATACCTGACCATTTCTGTCAACAATTGTCAAGGTCATCAAACTCAAGAAATGGACATAGATGGGAGAAAATTAAGAAGATATGACATCTAAGTGGAAAATAGGGTCCTGGACCGGATCTTGGAACAGAAAAAGAACATTAGGTGAAAATTTAAGGATACTCAAATAAAATCTATAGGCTAGATAACAGTGCTCCATCAGTATTAATTTTCTGGTTTCTGTAATGGTACTATGATTATCAAAGACATTAATATTAGAGGACACTGTGAGGAGGGCACAGGAACTCTGTGCTATCTTCATAATTCTTAAGTCTAAAATTATTTCAAAAATGTTAAAAATGTGTTTAAAGCAATCACGATAAAAAAGTACCGATGAAATATACCACATGCGAAGCCAAAAGACGTGACATACTACAGGGAGGAAGCCTGCAACTCATATCACAAAGGCCAGATCTCCCTAATATAGAAAGAGCTTCTAAAAGGATATCAATAATCCAAAAAGGAAAAATAACAAGTAATTCAAAGAAACACAAATGGCTTTTAAATAGATAAGAGATTATCAATCATAATCATAAGAGAAGTGCATATTAAAACCACAAATTATTTCATCCAAAGAAAACAAAAGCACTAACACACAGATACCCTTTTCCTATGCACAAATACATAGACACTGTATATGTGTGTGTGTATATATATATATATATATGTATATATATATATGCATAACATCATGGTGTACATATTATTCAGTAACAAATCATTTGTTAATTTGGACATTCCTTTATGTAAGAACATAGAAATCTACCTCTTTCTGCTTAAGGCCATGATTTCTAGAACCATATTAAAAATGCTTGCCAGTTTTTAAAAATAAAATTAATACACGCATATCATGACAAGTTAAAAAAATAAAACTACAGATACCAATTTTCACCTATCAGACTGGCAAAAATCTAGCAAGTTGGTAATCTGCCCTTTGGTGAGGCTGTGGAGAAAGAGGAACTTTCACACATATACTTTGTAATAGTGTAAATTGGACAACCCCCTCAGGAAGGCAATATGCCAGCATCTGTCAAAATTAAGAGAAATCCTTTGACCTGAAAGTTCCACATTATACTTCAGGTTGACTTGACAACGTCCAAAACACCACATGTACAAGCACGCTCCTCGCAACACTGTTTAAAACAGCAAAATAAATGCTCTTCAGTAGAGGGCTGCTTAAATGACTAAAGTCCCTCCAGAATAGAACGCCTTATACACACAACTGTGAAAAAGGATGAGGAAGTTCTCCATCTGCTAATAAAGAAAGATCTCCAAGGTATACCAATAACTAGGGGGGTGGGGGGGAGCTGTAGAACAACAAAGAGGTTATATGACACTCTGGGTAACAAAGAGGGAATAAGAATCCATATTCATATTTGCTTGTATTTGTATTTTTAAAAACTCTGGAATAACACATCAGAAGCCAAAAACAGGATTATAGAGGATAGGAACCAGAGGTAAGGAGTAAGGGAGAGAGAAACTTTTCATGGCACACGTGCTCATATTTTTGGATTGGGAGTCGTGCAATTGAATAAGTGTTACGTATTCAAAAAATGAAATTAAAAACCACAGGGAAATTATCATAAAGAGAAAACATGATTACAACCAAAAACAAAATTGTACCTTGGGCACAACAGTCATCCCTTAGAATGAAAGATGTATTTTTAACTTAGTACTGACGAGACAAAAAGCATGCATAAGACCCAAACATTCCAACATAATTTAAGCCATATGAACACACAAAATGCTAGTGTAACAAGGTGATGTTACAAAGGAAAATGATGAATAGACCCAGTAGTTGGATGCCAGAGAACCAGCTGAACCACCAAATTATGAGAAACTGTAATGTACATTTTATTTTACTCCTGTTACATGACTATGGGAAAAGTAAAGATGTTGCTTGTCTGTTAGGTATAAGGAAGAAATAAGAAGGAAGGAACAGAGGAACAGAGGGAGGGAGGACCAATGTGTCCACTGGCAGGAATGTAAATAGATGCATCCTTTTTGCAGGGCAGTTTTGCAATATCTCTCAGCACTTTTAACACACATGCCCTCTGACCCAGAAATTCCTTTTCTGGGAATTTACACAACAGATAATTAAAATGGCATACAAAGATATTTAGTGCAGCATAGTTTACAGAGCAAAGACAGCTACCAAAATGTTTACCAACAGAAAACTAGTCAAATTATGGTGTGTTCTAATATGGCCGTGCTCTGCAGAATAAGGTAGGTGGTCTGAAACAGAAAGATGGCTGTGCTGTTCCCAAGTGACAAAACAAGTCATGGTACAGCCAACAGCACACTTCTATTTGTATAAAGATAAGAAGTGAAAAAGCATAAGCACGTCTTTAGAAAATGTCTGGAAGGATCCTCTGGTATCTGCTAACAAAGGGTAACTGAGGAGTGAGACCAGGGCTGGGCACTGCAGGGAGGGGCTGGGGAAGGCCAAATGGAAAACATTTACTTTTATGAATATATTATGTTTACCCAGTGCATGTATTACTTTGTTTTTATTGTGGTAAAATAAACTTAACGTAAAATGTACCACATTCACCATTTTTAAGTGTTCAGTTCAGTGGCATTAAGTATATTCACATTGTTGTGCAACCATCACCACCATCCAGCTCCAGAATGTTTCATCTTTCCAACCTGAAACTCTACACCCACTAAACAATAATCATTTCCTCCATCCCCCAGCCCCTGGTAACCTCTATTCTATTTTCTGTCTGTATAAATTTGTCTCTTTTCATGTAAGCAGAATCATACAATAAAATACCTTTTGTATAAGACTTTCTTCCCTTACAACATTTTCAAGGCTCTGTGTTATAGCATGTGTCAGAATGTCATTCCTTTTCACAGCTGAATAATATTCCATTGTGTGTATAAGCCACATTTTGTTTATCCATTCATCTGTTGGTGGACACTTGAATGTTTCCACCTTTTGGCTCTTGTGAATAATGATGCTGTGAATGTGGGTGTGCACTTATCTGTCAGTCCCCACTTTCAGTTTTTTTGGCTAAATGCCTGGAAGTCAGATTGCTGGGTCCTATGATAACTCTATGCCTAATTCCACAGCATCTGTACCATTTTACATTTTACATTTTACATTCCTACCAGCAATACACAAAGGTTCCAAATTCTGCACACTGCGTTACTGTTATAAAGCTAAAAATGTATTGAATTTTTTTAATGTCACTACTTTAATGTAATAAGAAAGTCTAGCTTTTTTTCTCTCATTAAAAATATTGTCAGATTATAAATTCCTGGACACAAGGATCTGTTAAGAAACTTTATTGGGTGGAAGCCTTCCTGGGAAGGGAGGAAGGACTATTCCTGATCTCCTGGCCACCACGGCCTGGCAGCCTGCCTATCCCATCTCTCCCCCAGGCCACAGCCCCCTCCCACCTCCTCACCCCTTCTCCCCTGCTCACCTTCCTCCAGCCACACCAACCTCCCGCTGTTGTTCCAGGCCCTGGCTCTCCTTAGCATTCTGCCTTCATCTGTCCAGAAGGGATGGAGGCCTCCTCTCAGGCAGGCAAGGGTGTGTCTGCGGTCCACGTAAATTCTGAGTAGATGGGGGCCTTCCTAGGCCCTTCCAATCTTAGCGTCACGGCCGTTCCCCCGGTGGGCCTCAGGGCCCATTCACAGCTGGTCCGCGTTGGAAGGCCTTGCACTGGGAAATGAAGAGCACCAAAGAGAGTTTCGGCGGCATCAGACAGACCCCCAAGAAGCCTGTGTCTGTGGCTCTGAGCCCAGGGTCTCATCACGGGCTGCCAGTCTGAAGGCAGAGCCCTATTCTTCTGCCCCAGACCTGTCTGAACAAGCCTGCCCAGAAAACTCCTTCATCCCACCTTCTGCTCCCCTGCCCACCCACAAGCCCCAGACTCAGGGCAGTGAGACCCACGGCACCCACGCCTGCTGGGGACAGGGAGCTTGGGCCTTGTTTCAGGAGAAGGAGCTAAGCCGCTCATAGCTCCGACTCCAGTTCCCTCCCTGCAGGAGCCCTGTGGGGTAAAGAACAGCCCTGTGCAGTGAGAAGAGTGGCCAGATGCTCAAATGCTGTGTGTAAGGTCGCCCCGAAGTGAGTGGGGAGCTGGGCCTCAAATCCAGACTTTCTGATCTGTTCTTCTTTTTTCTTAAAACACCTGTGTCATCGTTGTGTGCTTAACACTTTCCTAAGTCTTGATATAAACAAATTCATGTGACAGTCTGGATTTCAATGGTTCACAATTCCACTATTTTAATTTTCACAAGGGAGCCAAAGATCCTGTATTAACCCAGGCTGGCAAAAGACTAGCTGAGTAGGGAGAACTGTCTGGGACCCTCTAGGCACTGGATCTTGGAATGCGCCTGCTGAGCCCACTTTGTGTGCTCATTTCCTTCCTTAGGGGCACCTGCTCTTTCCCCAGTGACTCCCTCTACCTCTCCCTTCCCTCTCTCAGCTGTGCACACCCACCCCCACCCAGCTTTACCCCAGCAGGACCCTCCTACTTGGCCTCAGGGTGACCAGGGGAAAGCCACAGGATTGGGGAGAAATTGAGCCCAATCTCTGGGGCCTAGGTGACTCCAGTGTCTGATCTGGGTGAGTGCCAGGGCCTGGCCGTGGAGGGCACACACAGGCAGGTTCAGGCAGGGGAGATGCAGGGAAAGAGCAAGGCTGGCTCTGGCCACAGGTCCCAGGTTCAGTGCAAAAGGGAAGCAGGTATGAGGTGATCAAGCAGACCCTCTGCAGGGAGGAAGAAGCTGTGTTGGAGGGGGACCAGGCAGGTGGCAAAGGTGGAGCACAGACTCTGCTGGACCAAAGCAGGAGAAGCTGGGCAGATATAGGCCCTAAGGAGTTGGGGTGGGGGTGGGGGTTCCTGTGGTTTCTGTTTCTGTCTTACTGCAAAAGCCAGAGGTCAAGTTCAGGCTTGCTGGTTTCTGGCAAGAGTCAACACGGTAACCTAAGCCAAAAAAGGCATTGAGAAGAAAGCCAGAGAGTTGATCACAGAATAGAACAGCGGAAATGAAAGTCAGGAGGAAGGGCAGCTATAGAGGCCCAGGGAGCAAGAACTGACCTGCCACACCTCCCACATGAGTCAGCACCAGCGAGCTCTCGCTGGTTCTAGCCTCCCTCCACAAGGAAGTCAGCGTCCAGGAGAGCCGGTCTGGCTGGCCCAAGCAGAGTCACATGCCCTCACACCCTGGCTAGTGAGGGGTGCCTCCCCAGAAACCACCAGACCTTGGATACGAATTTCCTGGAGGGAAAGGGGCTGCTGCATGCAGAAGAGTGAATGCTGAACGGTCGGGCAACCAGAAACCTTTATTGCACTCTTAAAGTAGAAGAACCAGCCTCCAAATCTATCCCCAATAATGAGAATTTGAATTGCTCAGTGGCTATAAAAACGTCCAAGAGATATGGTGCCATGTCACTAAACAAGTCCCAAACACTTCCTCTAATTTTATGAATTTTTTAAAATTGAAATTTAGTTGATATACAGTATTACATGGTTTCAAGTATACAACACAGTGATTCAACAGTCATCTATGTTATTAAATCCTCACCCCAGCTAGTGCAGTTATTGTCTGTCAACACAGAAAGGTGTTACAGAACCACTGACTATATTGTCTATGCTGCACTTTCATCCCCGTGACTAATTTATATTATGGTTGAGGTTTTGTGCCTCTTTATCCTTTCCACCTACTTCACCCACCCACCCCAACCTCTCCCCCATGGTAACCACAAGTCACTTCTCAGGGCCTATGAACCCATTGCCAATTTTGTTCACTTTGTTTTGTTGTTAGATTCCCCACGTAAGTGAAATCCTATGGTATTTGTCATTCTCTGCACTTCCTCTAATCATTTGTAGGGCTTTCATTAAGCCTTGCAGCTCCAGGTAATGGCTGCTGGTCATAGTGGGACGACAAATGTAAAGCTGTGTCTTGAGCTACCATTGCTGTTTGGGTTGAAACATTTCTCACTGTAGATTTCCTGCCAAGCCCCACTCGTGTTTCTACACCCACCCACAGGCATATGGAGACCTCTGGAAGCAGCCCCTGGGGTCCCACCCAGCCCACTGTAACTTCACACCCAGGGGAGTGGGCAAGGGGCTGGAATGCTTCCCCCGCAGCACTAGCAATGTCCCTCTTACAGGGAGTAATATACACGTGTAAGGATGCAGCACTGTTTGAATTTCTAAGGACCTCTCAGCATTAATGTTCATCAGGAGACAACATAGTAAATAAATCATGGTTTGCTCAATATTCAGCCATCAAAAATGATAAGGCAGTTCTCCATTTGTATTAAAATGGAACGATCTTCAACCTACCTGTAAAAATCAAGGCACAAAACTATGCGCAAAACTCTTGTGTGAAAAATGCACACCTATTTTGATCCCTTCTATCTGTGTATGTGCCTGGGACAAAATTATTAAAGCATAAGCTTTTGGAGTTCCTTATCGCCAGCCAAAGAAGGCCGGAACTCCACAAGGTGGTAGAAATGGTACAAGCAAGATGGAGAGTTAAGGAGACAGGAAGTCTGGAAGAGAGAGAATGGGGCACAGATGAACACACTGCTAAGGCACTGCTAAGGTAGGGTGGGATTGTCAAAGGAAATTTTCATTCTTTTGCGCATCCAGCATCTGCACCTCTTTAGAAGGTAGAATCCCCTTCAGGACAGAAGCTGACGTTCCCCTTGGCTTACTTTTCCCAGTTCACTTTGCAGACGTACGGCTCCCCTACTCGGATGGACTCACCCTGTAGTCGAATCATAACGAGACCTTAGGCACTGTGTAAAGCCCACTCAGCCCTCAGGGCAGCGATGTGGCAAAACGTTCACCCTCCAGGGCAGCAGTCTCGGCAACCTGAAGCCACCAGCACCCACCCTGGTGGCTGTGATACTCCAACCAGACAAATTCTGTGCTGTGATTTGTATGTATGGTCTTGTCTGAAGCAGCCCAGCTGTGAGCTGCCCGGAGCTTATGTGAGCACCTACTACTGTCTAGGAGAAAACAGTAACTTTTCTTGCTTACAACCAAGAATCCTGCCTGAGACACGTGTGTGTGCTTGAACCTCTCTCCTTAGTGCTCTCAAGAGACCTAGACTATTTTCAGACATGAAGCCAGATCTGTGTTTCTTTTGGACATATTACTATCCAAGGCATGAACGTGGAGACCTAGTTTTGTCTGGGTTACATACAACCTGCATCCTGGACTTTGTAAATGTTGGCTGTTCTCACCAACCTGTGCTCTGTGGCTCCCCTGAGAAATGAGAAGGACGTGAGGAGGAAGGCTTTCTTCTCATCTGACATTCTTCTGTGCCATTTGAATTCTGTTCTACCATATTCATATATTCTTTTTAAATGTCCCTGAAGTTTAAAATTGTTTAAAAAGAAATGTGATACATCTACAAACATATGAGTGTCTACATAAGAGAAAAAATGTAGTAAAATGCATCCTGGCAACAGGCATAGCCTTTTGAAGAAGCACTTGGTGAGGAGTTGGTAATCTGCTAAAGTCAGCTGAGAATCTTATTCAGTGGGCTGTTGGGACTGTGCATATTTTTTTAAGCCTTTTATTTGGCATCTCTTGCTGTTACTTTATATTCCATGTACAATAAATGGTTCTTTTTAACATAATCTTGAACAACCAGCTGAAGCATAGCTCTGCCCTGAAACACAGCTAAAGCAAAGGAGGGGCCCCAGGTTAGCAGGAAGATAAAAATCCAGTGCATGCAGAAGACATCCAGGGGCCCAGAGAGTCGCCCCCGTGGTGATGGGGGAGGGCTCAATAGTCCATCTTTTGCAGAGTCAAAAACAAAAGGGCAATTTAAAAATGTGGTATACTCATACATGGAATATTATTTAGCAATTGAAAGAAAACTACTACTGATACGACAGCAAAGGCCCAAGAATCGCAGACATTATGTTGAATGACAGACACAAAAGAATTCACATTGCTTCATGAAATATGTACAGGAAATTCTAGAAAAGACAAAACTCTGGTGACAGAAAATAGAAGTGGGAGGCATGGACTGCCAGGGGTAAGGGGTTATCTTGGTACAAAGGTAATTCTCTCTTGATTATACTGATGTTTACACTGGTGCTTACATTTGTAAAAAATCATCCTATTGCACACTTAAAATAGGTACACTTTACTATGCAAAGTATACCTCAATGAGTAGAGGAAGGGGTCTTGAGTGAGAACCAGATATTCAGGGGTACATGTCCTCATGTATGTGTGCTTGGTTCTTTCTGGATGAATGATGGAAAAGAATGGCTCAGCTGGCGCCCTTGGATTCAGGGCATGACTAGATGGAGGCTCAGAAAGGAGAGCAAACAGCGTCTCTCTCCTCCTCTCCATGTCCTCCACCCAGGCACCGAGGGGTAACAGGCAAAAGTGAGCAGAGGGAGACCCCTTCTTTCCCTGCCCTAAAGAGGCTGGACATTCTCTAGTCATCACTCTGAGCAGCGCCAGCTGGCCAGCCCTGAGCTCAGGACATCTTCATCAAGAAACTTCCATTTTATTTTCAAGATTTGGTATTCATCCCTATGGGGAAATAGACGAGCAACATCCGGAAAAGCCCCCAGGACCCCCACCCAGAAAGTGCCCCCACCCAGTGTGGACAGGGGCCTGGGCCACCGGCCTGCCCCGGATCTGGGGTGGGAGGCCAAATGGGCCCCCAGGCCCTGTTCTCAACTCACTCTTCACTCTTGGGCTGGTGTCCTGCACCCAGTACCTGTCCATTCTTGGACTCCTAGTCCTGGAGTGAGAGACAGGGCAGCCCAACAGGAACTGTCATTAACACCCAATCTCAAAAGGGTGTGATGAACACCTTCCTTACCCTGATTTTAAGAAGGGGAGTGAACAAGACGGAGAGGAGCAGGGAGCTCCAGCCTCAGCCAGCTCTCAGCTCAAGGTGGATTTATAGATGTCAGAATGAGAAGGTGGCCCTGGGGTGAGGGAAAATTCATATATTTATCCAGGGAATTTAAGATTGCAAGGGCTTTTTGATGAGAAGAGGTTCAGAGGTTCCAAAGATTAATATCCATTGCAGCTAGGTTAAAAGAAAATTAATAATGATGATAAGCACAGTAACAACCTACATCTATTTGTAGCCTTCGGGTTTACAAAATGCTTTCATTTAAACTATTACACTTGATCTCCTCAGTAACTTTAAAGACAGGAATATATTATCACCCAGGCTCAAGGTCATGCTGTAAAAGGTTTTATCAGTTCAGGAAAGCACTTGGAAGATGTAACTGATTGGCGATACTGATGCTAGAGAGAACTAGCTGCATTATTACAATTACCCACAGTGTTAGATTTGATTGTGCTCCTGGAGACATCTCTGTGGGTCTCTGCAGAACCGCAGGGCAGGCTTGGACCTGGCCCACATCAGTGCATTCACAGTCCTCTGCACCCCTTCGCTCGCAGCACAGCCACCTCCTGTGGGACCCCTGCCTGCCCTGCTCTGTCTCCTGGCCTACATTTTTGTCTATAGAGCTGAGAATTAATGTTTGGTATATGGTTGCTTTTATTTTAATAAAGTTTTCATTATAAAATCACTTAAATTCATGGATCACATCAAATAATCTCTCAAGTGGTCACCCCTAGGTGTTTGGGGGCAGTCCTCTTGAAGGTCAACCAGGGCCTGGGGAAAATGGGGGAGGACTCCAATACAGGGAATACCGTGTAGTGTACCCATCCTGCCTCCATGGATGCTGGGAATGCCCTGGCAGATATTCACACAGCACCATCATTATATGATATATATGTACCATTGTATCATAAATGAACTCATGTTAACATCATATAATATTATCATCTCTATTTACATGGATGCCTTCCCTACTCTCCA